TCGATGTAACCGCCAGCGCTCACCTTCAGTCCGGGGTCCACGAAGAAAATATCGGTCTTCACATTCCAGGAACTTCCGGTCCATACCACCAACCCGCGCCTTGGCGACTGCGGTGAAGATGATATCCTGGACCGTAGCGACGTTGTCGGAGCTGCTCGATGTTGGAGGTCTTTCAGATCAGAGTACTGGTCTCCAGGTAGCTATCCATGGGTGACTCCACACTAGAAGTTTCGCAGCTGTTTGGAGGTGACATGAATTCCAAAGGTCTTCTCCAGTCAGGCTGCGACTGGAGATGACTTCATATTTTGGTGTACATGAAGGTGATGGGCGAGAGCCAGCTCCTGCTTATCGAGGAACATCTTGGGTATCTTCCGCCCTGGTACTCGTATCGTCCTCTCTCTGGGCTGCGAAAATTTCGTTGAACTCGGTCGAAGCGTCTTTTTTTTTGATTGCCCCCCTGTACATACAGTCTGTGTATGATAGAGCCCGCACGGCTACATTTTGGCCTGGTACCACTTACCCGCTTCAACGACGGGTAGACAGTGGGTTTGCCAGCGCGCCAAATACAGCCGCGCGGACAGCCCCGTCATCCGCAGCGAACCAGACTGTAGATGTGAACTGGCAACTACCGAAATTCCACAAAATTCATCAACTTTGGTCCATAGCGCCGGGATAACCACTGGAGAGTACGGACAGATAGAGATTTATCGGAAGTTACATCCCATAAGCTTGAACAGCTCTGTGGAAGCCTGTCAAATAATGAAAAGCTGGACCATTTACGAGGAAGGACACTCTCCTGTACAATTGATCAAGTGATGCACCTCGAAGCAATCCTCCTTTCTTCCTGAGCTTCTGACACCGCTGAGCGTAATTCGTAATGAGGAGAAGTTCCGGCTGAACGATTTAGGGTGTTGGAAGGGGACGAGGAAGAGTTTTGATTGTTTCTTTAGTTTTCTCCTACTGGTGAGACCACTTCGCGTAAAAAAGCGAAATAGAGCAAACTTTTCCAGCATCATTGATTATACATGCGAACCCAACCAAACTTACGAAATGGTACGAACTTCAATGCATCTGTTTACAGGATATATTACCAGTCCTTAACTTTTTACGAATTTTGAAAAGCTCCGTTGAATGCCACATGCTTCACAAGAGCCAAGTCTCTGATTCAGACTAGCAAGATGCCCCACTCCCTCCCCCTTTCTGATCCCAGCAGCGTCGAAGTTTCTATGGGATTACGGCCGATTCTGAAGAGAAGTTGATGGAATTGCGTGAGGCTTACAACGATGCCATTCCGCTTCTGAGCACGTCTGAATATGAACTAACATCGCTTTCACGCCTTCTGGACTCTGAATCAGAGTTGTCGTTCGGTCGGTGTGGGGAGAGTGCTGTTTACCTTTGGGGAATATGTTTGCAGTGTTATGTTAAACTTTCTCCGTTTTTTTTTCGATCCACGTAGGGTATATAGCCACCAGCCCCTCCAGTCGACTGCAGTTTTTTTGGGGAAAAATTGAAGAATTTCTGGAGTACTCCGAAGTGGTAGGCCGATGGGAGAGTTTAGGAAGATGGTAGGTAGGATGGGGAAATGAGGGGGAGGGGTACCAGAAAGGGGGATTTTGAGGGCATGGCATCTTGTGAAATTTTTTCCCACCGACAAAACGAGCCTTGGACGAATACCACAAGAATGAGACGCGACAAACGATCAATATAAATGCTGCATATCTGCAAATAAACCGAAATGCGAAACCCACCATAAGTATGGGCTCGCGCATTTGCCTTTTCCAGAACCCATTCGACATGAGCAGGATCATCTGCATCCAAAGAAGCTCCTGAAAATATCACTGGTGAACAAATATCATTTACGGGCGGATTTTTTATCATTCAAAGATCAAAGAAGAAATCTGAAAACACCAAGGTATACACTGTAAGTAGCAGAAGACACAAGAACGTCGCAGGTGAACCAGAGGAGAGAAAGGAGTAGGGGAGCAGCTAACTTTCCTGCGTGGTATATCACAGTGGTTGCGAAAATAATATATCTGCCCTCCCCGCGTATAAATTTCGACACACTACTTACTGTAATATAAGTTGGGTGTAGTACGACACCTAGCTTCATTATTTACTAGTCCGTCCACAATTAGGTGACAGAACGCGTTTTCTCACTCTAGAAACAACATACGTTAAAGGCTAAGGATTACGGAAGATCCATGAATGACCTAATCTTCTTGAGACGGGCCACGCATAAAAACCTGGGGAAAACAGGCGCAACTAGCCTAGCTATTATGAACTGTGGGGCTCAACAAATGAGAAGGCATAGAGCTACTTTTGCCCTACAAGACTGGCATCCGACCCCTGGTTCTTCTCATAAATGATAGACAATGGGTTCTCTGCCATAGATGGGAAAAAGGTACCAAGGCGCATTTACAGGGAAATTTTACAATGCAGGAGCTGAAGTGATTAAATTAGAAGACTTACCTCCGAAAGGCCCTTCTTCAGTCCACTGCATAACTTTTACGTACTCTACGCAATGCTCCGGTAACCTAGGCGTATGCGCTATTGTGCACAGAGGATAATTCACCTAGAATAATTAACGATGACTTAGAATCACTCAGTAAACCAATAGTGACGAAAGAACTTACCTGAGGTGGAAATAAATCTAGTGTGCAATCAATACAGGCGGAGAGCTTCGGATAGATAACTCTTGCGTTACCCTTGAATCCCTCTGTTCCGCCATCAATGAGTGGTATAATCGTAGAAGTATCAACTTCTCCATTTTCCATCAGCACCAGATCACACTCAAAGAACAAAAATACAATTCTATGAATCCGTTGCATTTAGTATTAGAGCTTTCAAGAGGCTCAAACCAATCGCCGTGCTTTGCATCCTACATGAAAAAAACCTGTAGCAAAAAGTGTATACTTTGCCAAAAGCGAACATTGTTCTGGATAGGTGAAAGTCAGGCCTACTTACTCCTACGTAAATCAACTTATAAGAAACCAGCTCAGCCTCAGCATCACAATTATACGAGCTAGTACGGTGATGCAACCAATACCGAAAACACCCGGCGTTTCTTTCCTTTCTAGCTGCCGCTAACTCCTCCTTATTTATATTTTTCAGAGGATTCTGAAACTCAACTGCTAACTTTAGACTTTACCAACACCCACAGAGCACACACTCCGAGCACTATAAGCAATCCTCCTCTCCCTGGAATCGTCAGCTCACTTTAGCCACTTCCCATCCCCAATTTTCATTTCCAGTATTTCGTTTGCTTTCAGAATTTCTAAAGGGCGAGATGTTTTGCAGACCATGGAGCACTTCCAATAGACGATAAATAGGATCACTAGAAAGAGCAATCTGATATGGTTGACGGAAATCCTTCAGCTACATAGCATATGGCTGCGTTCATACTTTGCACAAGCATACACCAGCCTAGCGACTAGTATATAGATACCGATCAAACGGCATCGTATGCCAGCGGACGCCAGCGACTCGGAAAGTATGGATATCGATTTAGCAAATGCCAGCTTCGGGGCACTCTGAGCTGAAAAAACTGCCTGCGAAAACGCGCTGTATGCTGACAGATCTATACCCATACTTCCCAGTATCGGTGGCACGCGTGATCGACCGGCATGGCTGGCATACGATAGCGTACGCTAGATGGTTACTGTACTTTCCTGGTCGCTGGCGCTGCCGTACGCTCGAAACGCTGCCGAGCGACGAAAGATGTATAACAGCCTTAGTTCTTCATGAATTTATAGAGTATGTGGTCATCTAGACTATTGTGATCAACACCCAAACTTCACTAGCCCCGTTCACTACTAACAATATTAATCAATGCCTTACAAGCATGCCGTTGATCCATCGCCGTGCCGCAATGGAGTCGAGCCCACAAATGACTAGAGAAAACTGACGATAGAAGGACGGTGGCTTATCTTCGATTCTACAGTTGTGGCTAAAATAACAATTAATAAAATCCATATGTCTCTTCACGAGAATCCTACCTTAAAGACAGTAAAATAAAACTGACGCTGTCACTGTACACCCACTGACTCTATTCTGGACGAAAGCAGCCGCTACCTCTGCTTTGGACTTTCCAACATCTGCCATTCTGAAACAGAGGTAAAAAGGTTGAAGTTGTGGTAGTGAAA